TTTCTTTGATATTGCTTTTTTCTTAAGTGTTCCTTGTGAATCTGTTGCCTTCCTAAACCCATCGGATCATTCGGATTTCCACAGATACTTTTTTTATATTTATAACTGCCTCTTCCCTGTATTTACAAAAAAAGGACTCCCCCAAACAGAGAGAGGTGCTCCCCAACGAACATGAAGTTTTAGCAGACGTTACCAGCGCCCAGAGCGGCGAATACGAAGCCAAAGAGGCTCAAGACATAGTGCAGGGACAGAGTTCCCATTAGTTTGATTATCAGTGAGATTTACGAGATTTATCATTTTGATCACATCGCACCCGGACCATTTCCCCCCCCCTCCTCTTCATCCGAACCTCCCCTGAGCACTACCAACTCCGTGGCCCCCTCTCTTTCTCGTTAGGGTGGTAGATCCCTTTCCCCCTTACAACGTGGCACCTGTCATGTGACCTAAGCCGCATGTATATAAACATACCTGAAGTGGGAACCGAAGAAGTAGCCTTCTTCTCACCCATTTCCACTTCAGGTAAGTAACATAGTATCCCCTTTTAATAATAATAACACCCTTTTCCACTTCAGTCTAAGTGGCCAGGGACTGCCTCCTGAGCCGGGCCCGCCAGTACGCACGCCCGCTCCACACCCCGCGAGGCTTCTAGTGTCGGGCATCTCACCCGGGCCTCCTCTACCCCGGACGCGTCCCTGACAATTACCCACACAGCCTGATCATCATCCCCAGACTGGCACAGACATTTGTTATATTTCCTTCTGTAGAGCAGCCCCACTTTGCCGGGCATACTGACTTTATCATTCCCTGGGTAGTGAGTGAGGAAGATAACTTTCTTCTCTCACTTCCCCTCACTGCTCAGGTATGTTGTACATAGTATATACAAATGATATGTCCTCACTACCCCTTGCTGCTCAGCTGGAATCCCTATCGCAATCTGCTTTGTGTCAGGGACACGTCCGGGGTCGAGAGGGCCCGGGGGTAATGCCCGGCACTGAGGCCGTCGCGGGGTGTGGAGCGGGTGTGCGTACTGGCGGGCCCGATCCGGGACAGTGGTCCCTGGCCACTCAGACTGAAGTGGAGAATGTGTTATTATTATTAAAGAGGAAAACTATACTACTTACCTGAAGTGGAGAATGTGAGAAGAAGGTTACTTCTTCGGTTCCCACTTCAGGTACATTTATGTACATGCGGCTTGAGTCACATGACAGGTGCCACGTCATCCTTGGAGGCAGCCACAGGCATCCGGGTGTCCCTGTGGGGGATCCCGAGAGCGTCCACTACATGCACACGTGCTGGGCACAGCGGGAAGCCGTCCGGGGTGTGTGGGCCGGACGGGTCAATAGTACATCGATACAAGGGAAGGTGGTCCGTGTAGATAGAAAGAAATAAACAGGAAGAAGAAGATGAGAAGAATGAAATAAAGAAAGGGGAAAGAAAAGGGAAAAGAAGGGGGAGGAGAGGGAGGAAGGAGGGGGGAGGGGGATAGACAGCGGGGAGCGGGTGTGGTGTGGCCGGGTGGGCCCGGGTGGGCCCGGGTCAGGTGGGTGTGCCCTGACACTTTGCCAGGTTCCCCCATTGAGACTGACCCTGTCCCCTTCGGCCTCAGCTCCAGTGAAGGCTTGGGGTCCCTCGACTTAGAGTCCAAGCAGCTCGGTACCCTGACAGTCAAGGAGTCAAATCAGGATTGGGTATATACAGATCTGACAGGGACCACATGAACACCCTGGGTGGACATGTTTGAGCCAGCCTCAGAAAAATTCCAGAGGGATTCGAAATAGTTATATGTGAAAAAGGAGAGGTCTTGGAATTTTGGGAAATAATTTAGTTCAAGTTTTCCCTCCACATGGATAATTATATTGTTGATTCCATGCCTGAGTATTCCTGTTCTTAGCCAATTCCACACCAAATTCCACAAAATTGGTATTGTTGGAAAGCTATAGATGAGGAGAATCGAATGGGATGAAGGGATGGGACTTATGCAGAGCATGGAGTGGTATGAAGAAGTTTATATTTTTCATCTTACTTGTTTGGAAACCTATTCTAGTCAATGGTAACCAAGGCTAATCACTGTAGCTGGTGGAGGTTTAGCTCAGTTAGAACAATATATTTCAGAGGTTTTTCATTGTTAGATCAGGCAGATTCGGATGACTCTGGAATGGAATTGGAGACTTAGCATGGAAGGACCTTGGCCTCAGCAACTCAGGTGGAGTGCTGTGCCATTGCTGGTTGTCCTGGGGTCCCTAATTTTGGATCTAGTGAAGGGGAAGTCTCTTAGGGGGGAATCAAGTCGATTTCAGACTGAGGGTCTAATCTAGTATGTACAAGTGCCTACATATAATGGGGAGATGAAAGCACAAGGAAACAAGGGTGGTCTGAAACAGACCAAAGGCGTCTGAACGGAGACAAAGGGAGTTAAGGAAAATGGAGTGGTACCGAGGGTCATGGGTTAGACTCTATGGTACATCCGAAAGGAGGTAAGGTGTCACGACCCGGCAATTCCCATGGTCAGGTGATCACTTCCCGCACCTTCTCCCTCCCCCACTCCAACCCCGTCAACTCCGCTGCCCACCCAACGCCGCCTGAACAAGCCCGCCACCCTTCCCCGTCACCACTACCTGTTTCCATGGCCCGCCATGGGCCTACAAGTCTTTCCTTATCACGCTTGTTTTTCTTGACGGCCGTACACGGCCGTCCTTCTCCCACACTCTTTGTTTGTTTTCGTTCCTTCTTAACCCCACCTGCAATCTCTGTGAGATCTGGCAACTTAATTCTATTCATCCCGTTATACTTAAATACCGGTTGTACACTACCTGTTCGAAAATCAACTAGGGTTACCCCCTGCACTCTCTGTCTGACCCAGTCGCACCTTCTGCCATCTGAAATATCGGGGCCGCATCAAGTATGAGGTGCAACGCTCACAAATGAGTCGTTGAAGCCGAAACCCCTTTCCGCCGCGATTGTCATCCCCACCCTTGACGGGCTGTTACGCCGACAGCGAGTCACGGTAACGTTTTCCCATGCCCTGACATAAGGGGGGCAAAGCCCAGAGGGGCAGGAGGATGAGGTGAAGTGGGGGTGATTGTTAGATATGGGCAGATTCGGGTGACTCTGGAATGGAATCGGAGACTTAGCATGGAAGGACCTCAGCCTCAGTGACTCAGGCAGAGTGCTGTGCCATTGCTGGTTGTCCTGGGGGGTCCCTAATTTCGGATCTAGCAGAGGGGAAGTCTCTTAGGGGGGAATCAAGTTGATTTTGGACTGAGGTTATAAGTTACTAGGTACATTGTATATAAGTCAATCAAAAGGAACAAGGGTAGTCTGAAAGGAGACAAAGGGAGCTGGAAGGGGGAACAACACTGAGGGTCAAGGGTTTGACTCAATGGTGTTTCTCAAAGGAGGAGTGAAGGGCCAAGGCCCAAGGAGGAAGGAAGGAGGATGGGAGTCAGGAATGGCTAGCTGACTGAATAGAAAGGAAGCAGCAGCCCAAATAGGAATGAGGGAGAATAGCGGAATTGAATGGGACAATGCAATAGTTGCAAGGTCTGAAGTAAGTCCGGAAGGTCCGAACTTGGAAGTCAAACTCCGGAATATTGGCAAAGGTAAATAAATGGAATCGGCTAACCAATACAATGGGTATAAGTGGAGGTGGGGTCAAAGTCCGAGGTCAGAGCTAAGACCAGAGTTCCGAGATGGAGATGCGAATGGGATTCCAGAGTGGTGTTGTGGGGACAAGTCCATGCAGGCCAAACCAACATTTATTGCACACTTCACCCCCTACTGCATCAGGGACCAGGATTGGTGAGTCATGGTAATAGTAGGAGTTGTAGAGACTGTGGAGGTGGTTCTGACGGGTCCAAGATCGTCGCATTTGGTGGAGTGGTTGAGGAGATATGACTTTTTCTTTATTTTCCTTACTATTTTCATTCATTCATGCATGTGACTTTCCTTTTATATTTGTATCGGACTCTTCCGTGACAACTGTACAGATAGTTAGTTAGAGTTACACAGAGTATCAGCACCACACTCTAGAGGACCAAATATACCCATACACCCTTTGCCTGACCAGTAGTGAGATTCTTATCCCCCCTCCTTCCTGTCTTGAGTCTAGTTGGATAGACCTGTTACAGTGGAGGTCCGGAGTCAGGAGCATAGTTGCATACTTGTCTGGAGGGTGTCAAGGTTGAGGTTGGACCCAGAATGGTCTGGAGTCAGACTGAAGGTGGTGTTGGAGCTGGAGGTGGGATAACCTCAAGTTGGCAAGGAGAAAGGTGACAGAAGGGAAGTGGGGCTCTGACTCTGGACCTCTGCTCCGGATCCTGTTTGCATCTCTGTCTCGGAACTCTGGTCTTAGCTCCAACCTTGGATTTTGACCCCACCTCTGCTTATACCCATTGTATTGGTTAGCTGATTCCATTTATTTACCTTTGCCAATATTCCGGAGTTTAACTTCTGAGTTCGGACTTTCCAGACTTACTTTGGACCTTGCAACTATTGCATTGTCCCATTCAATTCCGCTATTCTCCCTCATTCCTATTTGGGCTGCTGCTTCCTTTCTATTCAGTCAGCTAGCCATTCCCAACTCCCATCCTCCTTCCTTCCTCCTTGGGCCTTGGCCCTTCACTCCTCCTTTGGGAGACACCATTGAGTCAAACCCTTGACCCTCAGTGTTGTTCCCCCTTCCAGCTCCCTTTGTCCACTTCCAGCCTACCCTTGTTCCTTTTGATTCCGGACCCCTCCTTATAATGTGCCCAGAGGGGCAGGAGGATGAGGTGAAGTGGGGATGATGACTAACTGGCTAGAATGGGAAGAAGCAGCAGTCCAAATAAGGATGAGGGGAAAGTGTGAAAGGTACATTACAAGCGGCGAAAGTGCCGGGTATGGTCTGTGGAGCTCAGAGCTTATGGAGCTTACGGAGGCGGGGTTGAAAGTCTGAGGAATGTTGGCAATGGTGTTTATGTAGTATGAGGTCACCAATGCAATGGACTTAAGCCAAGGTGGAGTCAATGTCTGAGGTTGGAACTATGACGGAATCTCAGAGTGAAGGTACGGGCGGTGTCTGAGTACGAGGTATGGGACAGTGGTGGAAGGTTGTAACTTGGCAGAGGTTTGGTGGAAGAGGAATGGAAGGAGAGGAGCGAGGAGGAGAGTGAGAAGAGGAGTAAGAGGAGGGATGATGTCAGGTCCGAAGGTGAATATCGGAGCAGACAGAGGTAGGGTAGGAGAGGGACTTGAGGGGTGAGGAGGAGGAGTGAGGAGGAGTGTTGTTTGGTCCAACGGTGGGTATCGGAGCGGACAGGGATAGGGTAGGACTCTGGAGGTGATGAAGCAGAGGGTCCAGGAGTCGGATTGGGATCAGGTATGTATGGATATGACAGGACTAATATATTGGTCAAAACCAATACATTTGTGAGATGTCTAAACATGTGACCAAAAACTGAGCCCCAACGTTTGTGCCTTATTGTATTGGAATTGGCCAAACTCATTAGCCCCATCCTGTGACCTGACCCAAACTTGAGTCCAGGTCTAGATTCATATCCCTTGTGACCAAATCCTGCATCTCCAACTCTAATGCCAGGTTTTGTGCACCTTGGAACCAGTAATGATTCCATGGCCCATCCAGGGTCATGTTAAAAATGTCGCATATCATTTTACCTTGTAAACTTGTCCACTAATTTAGGTTAAATATCAATGGTAGAGCCTTAGCAAAAAGGGACCTAGGAAGTACTTACATGCTGAGAGTTGTGCAAGTTATGGTATGCTGGATAGCCAGCATCCAAATCCTCATTGAGATTGTCCAGAAGATTGGCCTGGAATGACAGATAGGAATGGTTGACATTATCAGGAATTGAAGATGGGTGTCCAAGCTCAGGCTCTAGGCGACTTCCTGTTGGGTCACAGTCATTTGCTGATGGAGAATAGCCAAATGTCAGGGATCAACAATGACCCTGGACTCTATGCCAGCTGTGCATATGTGCATGGGAAGTATGCTGGCAATTCCTGTCTACTCTGCTTACCTAAGCCCTGGTGGCCTGGATCATCTCCGGCATTGTTCTGGAACATTCTATGATCATGTGATTCTATCAGCAATCTGTTTGGTTTCCCTATTGCCTGTCAGAAGATGGACAGATTTCTGTCGGAGTTGGGGTTGGAGGTTTTGGCAGACTTCTGTTGGAGCACACACACACAGATGTGTGGGCAGAAATATGTGGCATGTCCGGAAGTGCTGTTCAAGGTTAGCAGAGTGGGATCGTGGCCTCAGCGACTCAAGGGGAGTGCTGTGCCCTGAGCTTGACATCTGGGGGAGATCCCTTATTTATGAGCTGACACTCTGTCAGGGGATGACTCACAGGTCCCAATGTCCCCCCCCATGGCCCACAACCCTAAAGCAGCCCTGTCCAGGGCACACTGCTGCTGTGGGTAAGAAGGTGAGAAGGAAGCTAACTTCTCACCTTCCCACAGTGGCCCAATATAATGAAAACTTCCGGAGATATCCAGAAGTCACATCAGCAAACTTGGTAGGGAGCTCTTGGAGCTGTCTTTTTGCTGTGCACCCTCTACACATTGGGTGGAGAAAATTAAATGTTTGAATGATTTTATTCTCCTAAGGATGCAGAAGTGCAAAGATAATATGTATATATATTTTTGGAAATGCATATTAAATGGCCAGCATCATTACTTGAACGCTCTATGAGCTCATAGAGCTTTTTGTTTTTAAATCATGGATGGTCTTCATATCTCCATGAAATCTGCTTAGTTATTTTGGCACCAGTGGTGCAAAGATAATATGGATATATATGTGTGTAAAATGGCCATTGTCATTGCACTGAAAGCTCTATGAGCTCATATACCTTTTATGTTTACTAAAATCAGCACCTTATTTTTTTTTTATTGCTATTTACAAAATTTGAGGAAAACTCTGAAATTCAAAAATTTGCACTTTATCTTTCATCTCATTTCTTGCTCAAAACTCAACCAATTCTGATGATCCCATGTGAACTGGAAAGCACCAAAGTGTGGCAATGTAACCATGCATGTTATGTAGGGTATAAATCAGTTTGAACAAAGTGTTCCAAATGAAGTAAATTGAAAATACCACCCAATAAAGCAAACAAAAAGCTGATGTATTCTTCAGATATCATCCAAGCCTTTGACACCAAATTTCCCATGGTCAAAAAGCCATGGTTATTTGGCTCACTGTCAGGGCCTGGCCCTTGTTCCGTGACGGGCCTAGGGGGATCCTCCTAGTCACTGGGGTATCTAGTCCCAGTCCAAGATCCTCAAACTCACTGAGGGGGCTAGCCCCAGCCTTCACAGGAAATGAGTTGAGAAGAAGGATAACCTTCTCAACCTCCTGTGAAGCTGCTACAAATGGGAGCCAGGAACTATACAGTTTTTGGCTCTTTGCTGACTTTCCATAAATGGCACCCCCCATGGGAAGATTCTGGGTGAGTAACTTGCCCAGAACTTTCCCATGGGTCTGCATGCGTGCAGGATTGTGGAATAGTGAGGGGCTGTGCCCTGACACTCACCAAAACATGGTGGGAGACTTTTCTAACACTGAAACATACATTGCTACATTGCCCCACTTTGGCACTTTCCAATGCACATTGAATTATCAAAAAAGTGAATTAATTTTTTTTCCAATTATTCCTAATTTCCTGAAATATCTTATCCCAAAATTTCTGATTTTCACCCTGATTTTTTGGACATTCTCCCTTTTTAGAAAGTCCCCCATTTTCTGAATTTTCCTTAATTTTCCCAGACTTTTTTTCAAGTTTTTAGAAACCCCCCAGTTCCCCCTCATTTTCCTCCCATTTTCCCCTTCATCCCCCCCCCTCAATTCCCCCCCTCATTCCCCCCAATTCCCTCCTCAATTCCCCCCATCCCCCCTTCAATTTTCCCCTCATTTCCCCCTCATTGCCCCCTCCAAATGTCACCCCATTCCCCCCCTCATCCCCCCCTCCAAATTTCCCCATTTCCCCCCATTCCCCCCATTCCCCCCCCCATTTCCCCACTCATTTTCCCACTCATTTTCCTGCATTTTCCCTACGTAATTTCAGATTAACTGCATTTATATCCCTAAATTTGGTCTATATATTGATTGGGCTACATACCCTTGGTGTGTGGTGCCTCATTGGTGCTGAAAGTTAAGCTGAGTTTGTTCAGTCCCTTGTATGGTAGGGACTTGGCTATGGCTAGTCACATGATGCCATAGTCAATGCTTTTAAATTTTAATTTTAATATCAGGTAAATTAAACACTCAGGGAGCTCATATAGATAATAGTCCCCTGTGTGCAAACATAGCTCTATGAGCTCTCAGGCCTCTGCATCCAGGTTTGCTGATGCATGAGGCCCAAGACCCAGGGCCTGGGGATCTGGCCGCATGGAGCGTCCAGCACAGGGCATGCACAGGGGGTGCAACGGCTGGGTGTGCATTGTAGGCAGGATAATTGCCCATGCACAGACTCGGCTCGGATACCTGCTTCCACAACTATAAAACCCCTTTCCATTCATGCGACAACTCGATACGAATTTGGTATCTAAAAATAGGGCTAATTCCTACGATCCCAACGATACCAAAAACATCCCAATCGGTGGAGATTTGACGGAGTTCCGTGTTGGAGAAGTTAGGCATGGCAGGTCACGAGTATGTGCAGGTGTGGGAATCTCAGCAGCAACCCAGAATTCCAGCCTCACTTGTTCCCATGGTGTCTAATAAATTGGTAAAAATGCTTATCGGCTGCATGAGAGTTATCTCCGGCTTCATTTCCAATTTCGGCTCTTAATTCTGTAAATCCGTTGAGAAATTGTTTATTTTCATATTTTGCCATCATTTCAGTTATTGATTGATATTCTTTTATTACCCTTTTTTATTATTTTGCCTAATAAGGTACCCAGGTGCCATATGGTACCAATATTCCCCATCTATTCTTCACCTGTTACTCATCATGGGACTATAATAATATGTACCTATAGGGGGCCCACCTGACCTACTCTCTTAGATATAGAGACACTCCTTGAGTGCACGCACCCATGCACTGGTGCAACGATCAGTACATAATACTATATATACTACTCTCAGGCCCTTCGGGCCTGAGAAGCTCCAGGGTACTGTGACCTGAAAATCTGGAAAACCCCTCCATGCCGCAAATCCTTCAGAGTTCACCGTCACACATCATCCCACCAACGTCTCCGGACCTGTCATCACCATCATCGATGTCGTCAACGACATTGCCAACACTTATTTTTCAAAATCACTGTTCCTTTATAAACTTCACTAATACACAACTTTCCTCGCTTCCTTTCCTTTTCATTTTGTCAGCATTGGCTTCGTCTTTGCCATCCTTGCCATTTTATGAACTAGGTACTATGTAAATACATGGCATAATAAAGTCCTTCAGACAAAGTCTAAATCAAGGCTCTCCAAAGCACTGGCGATTCGACCGATCAGGCGATGAGACTCCTCAACCTCCTCATTCTCAGTTTCCAGCCCCCCATCTGCCATCCCACCGTCGATATCATCAGAGGGTATGAGATTGGTGGTTGAGCTGGGCAGTGTCGTGGAGGGGGTTTCATTGGGTGGTACTAATCGAATGGTCAGAACCATTACAAATGCCCTAATGGATACACTTACTGTTTGGTGGGTTGCTATTCGTGTTTTCTGGGCTGCCACAAGTGTCAGGGCTCGTGTCAGGGCTCGGTCCTCAATCAGGGACAGCCCGACCTCGGTCCTAGGTGTGTGTGGTGTTCCGGGTGCTTGGGCGCTAGACCCCGTCCTCAGCTCCTCAAACTCACTGAAGGGACTAAGCGGGGATTGAGTTGTCATGTATTACAGAGGGTAACTACAACTTGCCTAAGCGGGGATTGAGTTGAGAAGAAGGGTAAGTTTCCCTATTCCCTGCTTGGCTACTATAAAAGGAAGTGTACTGTACAGTTCGTAACGTGATTCCGGGTAGAAGCCGAGCATGTTCCCGCGACTCGGAAAAGGTGTCACATGGGTTAAGGCGAGTTGCTCGCCTTAACCCACGTGACTTTTCCCGCGGGCTCACATGCGGGTTGAAGTTGTGAGAGGTATGTAGGGATGGGGAGGTCTGGGAAGGTGGTTCTGGGGTGTGGTTGGGTGCCCTGACAGCGGGGTCAGGGGCCGATCCCTGACAGCTCGCTGGTGGTCCGCTCATCATCCCTTCCCCATCACCAGTTAAGAAATGTGCGAGCTTATCCAGCTGGGAGAGTTTGGAACATAGGTGCGCATTGACATTGAGGCGGTATTGGGAAGTAGCGGAAATATATCTTGCCAGAGTGTCACGACCGACAAATCCTGGGGCTCCGTCAGCGGCGAATCAATGCCGATAGGCGAATCCGCCGACCCGAAACCCAATCTAACCAGCCCCCAATCCGATGTCTGGCCCCCTGCCCTATCAACCATGCACTGCATCCAGACCTCCACCCGCATCTGGACTTCTGCCCGCATCCGGACCTCCACCCACATCTGTACCTCTGCCCACCTCCACACCCTCTGGACCTCTGCCACTCCTGGTTGCCCTCCACACCCTGTGGTCAGGCCAACACTCCCCTCCGACCTTGCTGGCCATCATGCTGCCCTTGTTTGTGACAGCACTGACGGACCATCCTCTGTTGCGGACTTGTCAGCACTGTGCTGATTTCCATGTCCCTTCACGGACCTGTGTTGGCACCGCACCGACCCCGCTTATTTGCGGACTTGTATCGGCGCCGCGCGCTGACCTCCGCTTTTCTCTGGCCATCTTGTCACTCGGCAGCATACCATTCATTCCTTGCCGAGTGCCTATATTGTTCATCCATTCATTCGCTTAACTTGCCAATATTGGCACTTGATCCATGTGCTGATGCACTTCTTATTACCTGTCAATATTGGCACTTGATCCGCTTTTGTTTAGTTCATTGCCTCCCATTTCCCGGGCTCTTGTCCTTCATTCAGTTTGACAATCCCCGCTTATTTCCGCGCCGGACTGACCGGTCCTTCTGTGTTTCCCTCCTGCCTATTTATATCCTGTAAATACTTTCGGGGACCTTAGTCTGAAATCAACTAGAGTACCCCCCCTGTCTGGTCTGAGTCCCTCCTTCTGCAAAGGGGGCTTTCCCCCTCTGAGTCCGTGCTCACGGAGTCCGCGCTCCTCCTACAGGTCCGCTCCGCCTGCAAGTGTCCACTGCAAGTGTCAGTTTGTAAATACAGGATCTCCCCCAAATGTCAAGCTCAGGGCACAGCACTCCACCTGAGTCACTGAGGCCACGATCCCACTCTGCTAACCTTGAACAGCGCTTCCGGACGCACTGCACATTTCCGCCCGCATATCCGTGCATGCACGCTCCAACAGACCTCTGCCACAATCTCCGACCCCAACTCAGACAGAAACCCAATCCGTCTTCTATCTGCCTTCTGACAGTACTTCTGACTCCAACAATAATTCCAGTCTCTGACAGCATTCCAGATCTCTGATACAGAGTGGGATTGGTCAATCGAGTGTTCTCAATGGCACCTCACAGCCAAGCCTCCTCATTTTCCATCGAGGTCCATACCCGACGAGCTTCAAGTCTGACAGTGTCAATCTCTTCACAGGCTCGTTGAAGCTTATGCCAAGCTTGGGTGGCCTTGCGAAGAAGGGGCTTTGCCCATGGTTTCTCACGTACATCGTCATGGCCCCATAAAATCATGATATCTGATATGAACTCGAGGCTGGTTACATCCTCCCAACTGAGTCTTGGCTTTGGGGGATCCATGGTGGATGCAAGATTGTTGTATTTCTCTAGTGTTGAGTTAAGTGTCTTGCCCTGCTTCGCCACTAAAGATAGGATTTGCTGGCGAGCCTTGTAATCTGGAATAAAAATTGTACTCTGAATGGGGCAGGGAAAGAAGTCGGCTATCACACACCTGTCCTTGGAAGTCCCATCTTCTCAACTTCAAACTGACGCGATATTGCACGATGCTCAAGATCATCAAGGAGGTGATTATAATCCCTCTGCTGGTGCAGAGCGATTGCTTCAAGCTGCTCAGGAGAACCAGGCACCCAAGGTTGTGTACGAGACATGGCCAGTAGAGCTAACCCCAACGCTGCCAGAGTGGCGCTGTAGGGGTGGTGGTCACAGACACCCCAGAACAGGCGATATATCGGGTCTCACGAGTAACATCTGAAAAGTGTAATATCTCCCATGGGCTCCATGGATATCCATGGGCTTTCATGGGCTTTCATGGGCTTTCATGGGCTTCCATGGATTTTCATGGGGGGCCATGAACACCCATGAACACCCATGAACACCCATGGAAGCCCATGAAAGCCCATGTACAACATTATCTTCCAATTTCCATGAAATTCCATGGGTACCATGAATGCCCATGGATACCCATGAATACCCATGGGAGCATTATTAAAAGGGTCCATGAATGTCCATGAATGTTCATGGATGTTTATGGAGGTCCACAGAAGTCCATGACAGTGCATGAACAACAACATACTTGTCAGGACTCAGCCCTCATTCAGGGGCAGCCTGACCTCGGAGTTGGGTGTGTGCAGTGTTCTGGGCAGTGGGGCACTAGATCCTGCCTGTAGTTCCTCAAACTCACTGAGGGGGCTAAGTGGGGAGTGAGTTGAGAAGAAGGGTGAGTTTCCTTATCCCTGCTAAGCTACTATAAAAGGAAGTGGACTGTGCCAGTTTATAGTGTGACTGCAGGCAGAAGCCAGGTGCATTCCCACAGCTTGGAAAGGGTGTCACATGGGTCTGTATGTGGGCTCCTGGTTGTAAATACACTTGGAAAAATAGGGAAAAATGTGGGGGACTGGGGGGAGGGGTTTCAGGGTTGTATGTTCAGGTGAGGTGCCCTGACAATACTATAGCAAGTGAATGAAATTGCAGGACTCAGAGACCCATGGGGACCCAACCAAAAGCCTTTATACATATGTCTTCACAGGTGTCATATCCATCCTCCACCACCACCTTCTGTCACCTCCAGCCATCCCTGATTACCTCTGCTCCACTCATACCAACCTCAGAGCCCCCAATGGTCACCACCCCCCATTTCCATATATTACTTACACCTCCCTAAGTACAGAACCCCAAAGGCCTCCAGACAGCTCCAATGTCCACAAGCACACCCCTGACTCTGTTGGGCCATTTAGTTGCCTGCCCTGCAAGTCTGCCTTTGGACCACCCTCTCCATTCTCCTTTTGGGTTGTTGTCTGTTAAACCTGTAACCCAAGTTGCCAGTAATATTCAGTTGACTAACCCTTGACCCTGTTATGTCAGCTCCACCTGGTTCCTGCCATTTATGGGCCCTCTGCCTAGACTTCCCATGTATCTGCAAATTAGGGCCCCAACATGCTACTGGGCACAACGCTCCTGGCTTGAGTTGCTGAGGCCAAAGCCCTCTGAACACTGAGTCATACCTCCCTTTCGAATCCAGTCTTTGACAACAGGAGTCTGTATAAATGTTAGAACTGTGGGGCTGAATTGGTCCATTTCCATAGGTTTTGGGTGCAGCATAGGGGGTCAGCATAGGGATGATTCTACAGATAATGTGGCAGAGGTTGTGAGAGCTGGGTTTACAATAACATGGTTGGGTCAGGTTTTGTGTGATGATAGTTGTTGGATACTAACTATTTACATGGCATGGGATACTGTACTCCACAGAGCCCATAAGAGGCAAAAACCCATTTCTATAATAAATATGAACTTTGATTTTTGTGCCACAACTGCAAGTGTCCACTGAATATGTTGGTGTGCTTGTTTAAGCACAGGTGCAGCCTCACACTCCCAGTCCATCAGTACATGCCATAATGAGGCTACATATATGGTTAAGGGTGGGAAATACAATCCTTACAACCGATCACAGGTGCATCATACATGTGAGGAGCCCAGGGAAAAACATGCATACATCTCCATCAGTTTTGATCACAGCAAATTTTATATAGTATTGGTGAATATAGACATGTCAGTGCTGCCTATCTTCGGTGACTTTCATCATTAATTATGGCAATATTTGCTTCACACTTGATTGAACAATGGAAACCCCCCCCTCTGCTCTGACCATCTGCACATCACTGTGGCAGCATTGAGTGTCAAATCCTTGTAACAGAGCAAAATAACAGCACATAGAAGCTGTTACATAAATAAATGGCCTTTGGGAGTTCATGAGCACCCATGGGCACCCATGAGAGTCCATGAATGCCCATGGGAGTCCATGAACATCCACAGAAAATCCATGGAACTCCATGAAAGTCCATGAAAATCCATGAAATTTCATGAAATTTCAAAAAATCCCATGGAATCCCATGAAATCCCATGGAGCCCATGGAGCATCTATCACTTTTCATGAGTTACTGGGTCTCACATGCAGGATAAAATGTTAGAAAATCCTACAGTGGAAGGTTGGCTAGGAATTAGGTGATGAGGTCATAGTACGGATGGTAGAGGGAATCGAGGCGATTCCAACGCACGTTACACGAGGAGAATCGGTGAGGAATTGACAGAGATATGCAGATTTCAGTTGTGTATCGCGATGCATGTCACATGTTCATTGTGCACACATGGGAAATGTATTCCCCACCTCAACGCTATCTCACTCAATTCTCCATCAAATTGGATGCGGTTTGTTGCGTTGGATGGCTGTAGTTTAGGCGAGTTGGTTGACATGAAGGGAGCACAGTTGTGTCAAGTGGTTTGGGCTGGAGATGCAGGTTGGGTTTTCCGTGGCCACTTTCTATTGTTTTATAATTTGTTGCTTGTGATATTGTGTTTCCTATTCTATTTACTCTTGCGACGTGACCAGATGAGTCATATGGAACATGCTGGAAGCTCGCAGACATGTTTTCAGGGTTGTTTGTATATAATATTAGCTTACATTTGTAACAGAGATTTCCCCTCCACTACGTTTAGATCTGGTCACCAAGTGAAGTGTGCTGGAGGCGTGGTCAAGTGCAGTAGTCTTGAGGGAGGCAAGGAAGCCTCACAGTGTCCTCAGGGAGATCCACACTGAGTTACAGGACACCGAGTCCCAGTTGAGTTTTGAGTTTAGTCTTGATTCTGTCCAAGGAAGCCGCTTGCTGGTGTCAGGGCACGCCCGCCTGACCCGGCCCCACCTAACCCGGTGCCCCACCATCCACTCCTCCCGACCTCCCCCTCTTCCCCTTTTCTCCCTTCCCTTCCTTCCTCTCCTTCTTTTCTATTCTTTCTCCTCTTTATTCCTTTCTTATCACACGGACGACTTCCTTTGTATCAATGTACCATTGACCTGGCTGCAGCGTAACGCGCCCGAACCCGGACACACCGGACGACCCCCCGCACACCGGATGCTCCTAGGACCTCTTACGGAGGTACCCAGACGGAGGTGGCTGTGTGCTTGGATGACGTGGCGCTTCCCACGTGGCCTTCAACCACATGTATATAAACACAGCCTAAGTGGGAACTGAGAAGCAACCTTCTTCTCACATTTCCCACTTTAGGCAAGTAGCTTACACTTCCCTTGATAATGACAATAACACATTTCCCACTTTAGTCTTAGTGGCCAGGGACCCTTGTCTGCTTTGGGCCCGCTGCTACGCGCGCCCGCGTCATACCTACCGGACCCTCAGCCTCGGGCGATACACCCGGGCGCTCTCGACCCCGGGTTGGTCCCTGACAGCTGGCCCCCTTTTTCGTTTCTCATCCTGCTGGGTGGGAGTAGGTGTGGTGCGAAGTAGTTGAGGTGGTGGTGATTGTGGTGGTAGGTTAGTGCACTGAAGGAGGAGAACAGAAATCCTATAAAAGGCTGTTCTTTCTTCTGATACTTATATGTTAGTATTGGTACTTTAACTCAACCACTGTAGCGTTTTGGTTGCTTTGTGTATTGATATTTGTATGTGTTACTGATTATTTGTGTGTGTATGAAATTCTCAGGGTTCAATTCACTTGTCTACCTGATTGTTCCACACGAAAATCACGCTATAGACCTACTATTTTTAGTCGTTTCACCTCTGTCTTGTCACTTTTAACTCAGAGCGACTCCAACCGACTTGACTCAACGTCACTATTTCTTAACTTCTTCTTAACTTTTTACTGAGGGTTGATCACTTTTACTCAGATGTGATCTGAACTGCACACTTATACTAATAAAACTTACTTTTTATTAGGACGCCTTATGACCTATGAGCCAGAGCATGTAGGGGAGAGGAGTAAAGAAGGAAGAGGGGTCAGACCAGAAAATGCGGTCTTTTATACCTTTCCTAAGGGCTCTGTTTTCACATGTCACTTTACTATTTACATTGCTGAGTAATCTTATATTGAGCTTAGCAATCCTCTTATGTAAGCGATCAGCATCCCATTCTGCTTCTAGAACTTTCTGGAAGTTTTGGTGTGGGAATTAGCCAATTGCATTGCCTAACACCCATCATGACCTTGTTTACCCTTGTTTACTCACTTTATTCTAGGTCACATGTCATGGGGTTATTTGTTAGCTTAAGAGTGTAGCTTTCCGTCGGTATAAACAACAGTAAACTACAAGGATTATTTATGAAGATATGAATTTTTCAAGATTTAATTTTGAGGTTCTCCAGATTGCTTTGGCATTAGCTCATCCATTTTCCTACGATTAATTCTGGATAAATTATGCCTTGTTCCTGGACTCAAACTCTTTAGTTTCGCATTTCTAGCTTATCCGTTTTTACCACAAACTCAGGATGTTTGAGCCAGTCTTCTCTGCAAGTGTGTTTTAATCTTGTTAAATCCATTTCTCCCTCAATTCTTCAGACTTTAACATGAAATCTTTTCGTACACAGACCTATACTTTAACTCTTTAAGACCGACAAAGATTCATATTTTTCCCTATTTTCCTCATATAAATATTTCCAATTCTTTCATCTTTTCCTCGTACCCGACCATTTTTCATTATATGAATGCCTTGATTTTCTTCCGATTTCTCTTTGTCATTCGTTTTGTACGTTCGTAAAACTATTTTCCCACGTTACCACGAATTTCTAATATTTTATTTGATACAGGAAACCTTGTTTTTGTTTTCATGTGGGTTTATTTGCTGTTTTTCTTCGTTTTCTGGACCATATTTTAATTCCTAGACTTGAAAGTTCGCGTAGATACTCAATTCATCGACTCTGTTCTTCAGTATTTTTCCGATATTTTATTTCAATTCATTTTGTTGAGTTATGATTTTATTCCTATTTTTATTTCTGGTCCATGGAGGTTGTATGATTTTTATCCAATTTTCTGTGATGGTTTCTGGTTGTTTTAGTGTTGTAACTTTTATATTCCTACAGCGCCGCTGTGCTGCACATCCATTTCCTACCCGGTCCCCGATCCCCCTTGTGTGCTCCGCTACCCTGCTTGCAGCACATGCACTCTCAACAGCTTCATTTGCCTCTCGCAAATGTCAGTCAGCATGTTGGGGTGGTAGCCTAGCCTGGACAGCTATTTGTGCTATCCAGTAGCGTACGGTTTCCCTGAAGGTAATTTGTGAATGTTTATGTTTATGAACTAGAATTATACCCACTCTGCACACTCAAGATGCTCTGTTGCCTCTGTTAGAACTGGGTGAGGGCGGACAATTCCGGAGGGGAACTGGAGACTTAGCAAGGAGGGACCTTGGCCTCAGCGACTCAAGCGGAGCGCTGTGCCATTGCTGTTTGTCCATTTGGTCCTTAATTTCATAGGCGGCGAGCAGGAAGTCTCTAGGGGGCATTTCAGGTCGATTTTAGACTAAAGGCCTAAAACGAGTATGTACAAGTGCTGATATATATAATGGAGAGGGCGAAAGCACAAGGAACAAAGGGGGTCCGAATTGGAACGAAGGGATGACAGAAGCAGAGCGGTACCGAAGGTCATAGGGCAGAACCTGTGGTACATCCAAAAGGAGGTAAGGAGGGCGAAGCCCAGAGGGGCAGGAGGATGAGGGGAAGTGGGGATGATGACTAACTGGCTAGAATGGGAAGAAGCAGCAGTCCAAATAGGGATGAGGGGAAAATGCAAAAGATACATTACAAGCAGCGAAAGTGCCGAAGGTGATCCGTGGAGCTCAGAGGTTGCGGAGCTTACAGAGGTTACGGAGGCAGGGTTGAAAGTCTGAGGGATATTGGCAATGGTGTTTACGTAGTATGAGGTCACCAATGCAATGGACTAAAGCTGAGGTGGAGTCAAAGTCCAAGGTAGGAACTATGATGGAGTCTCGGAGCGAAGGTACGAGCGGTGTCCGATTATGGGGTACGGGACAGCGGCGAAAGGTCGTAACTTGGTGGAGGGTCGGCAGAAGAGGGTCAGAGGGAAGAGAGAGGAGAGAGGAGTGGGGTGAGGAGTGGAGGAGAGGAAAGGTGTCGGGTCCGAAGGTGAGTGTCGGAGTGGATGGGAGAAGGGTAGAAGTGTGATGGAAGGGTGGAGGTGTCGTGAGGAGGAGTGGTAGGAGTGAGAGGAGTGATGTTCGGTCCGAGATGAGTATCGGAGCGAACAGAGATAGGGTAGGAGAAGGAGGATATGACAGCCTCTAAATACACGACCTTCGCCTTTTCATCTTGGGGCTCAAACTGAAGCGAGGATATGTAGTTGCACTCTTCATCCAGCCATTGTGGGCATTGCACATCAGGTTCAAAGTTGGGGTCCATCTGCCTTGTTGTCTTGAGGATTTCTAGGCTTTCTTGAACTATTCCCCATGCTGTTGTGTGGTTGTTCAATAAGAAGTCACCTACTTGTGAGGGGTAAGGAAGTGTTTGGCATATTTATTGAATGGATGACATACCTAGATGCTCATACTTTGTTTCATCCCACTTCACAAAATGCATATGAATCCGGAGATGCCAATAGTATGGTGATGCATGTTGGGTTACCGGTGCGAGGGAGTTGCTCTCAGAATATACTCGTTTGTTGCCTTCACCATCTTCAATTCCAGCTCCCTGCTGTAGCCCTATGAGGAAATCGAGCTGGCAGAGTCTGTTGTGAGTGGCACTGTGGAAAGAACCAGTACAACACCTAAATTTTGCTTCTCATGCCATATCACCGGTGGAAGGCTTGGAAAGGGTAGCTGAAAATGTGCAGCCAATATCATATACAAATAGAATGTTGCTGCTAGGTACGTCAATTCTCATCAACAAAGTACATCACATTACTCACAACTCCCCACTCTGGACCATGTCAATAAGGAATTGGATGATACCATGTCGGCAAATGACAGAGAAAAGTCCTGTCTCATCCATGAGTTGCATGGCACCCGACTTCGACTTCAAGGGCATTGGCCAAGCATTCTTCCATGCTAGGCAGCTGTCAGATATAAATGATGACTCTGGGCCATCCATCTCACAAGTTGCACATATTACTGAGTGAACTAAGGAAGAGGAATGTTCATACCTGGCTACCACATTGTGAATGTTTTCAAGTGTCAGCAAAATTATTGACCTGTTCTCGGGGAATGAAGTAGTCACTGGGAAAGACTTGGGCATCAGTGGCAAAATTGTGGCGCAGCCTTGAGAGGGAGGTATTCCCATCAGCCGTGACAATGAGCTGAATGGGGCGTTCAGGCTCATCTTCAACCTAAAAACGATGATGCAACTTGGGCTTACCCTTTGCTAGATCAAAATCGGATACTTACCTTACAGTGACAAGCAGGGCAGGAATTTTTGAGACGATAATTGGGCCCCACCTGACCTACAGCTTGTTTGACGAGTTTATCCAGGTGGAAGAATATCCGATAGAAGATATCGAAAGCAAGTGAGATTTGGGTTCTTAAGTAGGGCTGATTTACCATCTCAATTTTCAGTCAGCTGCAGATGCTGGAAAAACACCATAAATAGCTTACCTTGTGTATGTCAGAAACCACCCAGGTAAAATGTTGAATACTGAAAGCAGGCGCTGCTCGGAAAAGAGAGTATAACAGTTCGAGCGATCGCAGGGAGATCGCAATTTGGGGCTCTGTTGGAGTAGGGGATAGATAGCTGGCACTCACCAGTGCATATGTAGGATGGATGTCTGTCTCCTGCCTGGGTATGAACTACCATCTGAATATCGGTTAATCACGTACAGGGAGGTGAAAGGAAAGGCTTACCAAATATGTCAAGGCACTTGATGGAAACGTAATTGAGGTTGTCTTGGGGCAGGGGATAGTGAGATGGTGTAGAAGAAGGGTTGGTAGTTTTGAATTCAAGGTATAGGGCAACAAGGTCGTTCAGCTGCTCTGCCCAAGCTGTGTGGAGCCTGGCCATGTGGTGGCCCCAAATGTGACTTTTCTTGTGCCTAAAAATCAAACATGAGATCAGTCCTAGATGAATAAGAACTGAGAAGTCATCAAGAAATACATACTGTTTTGGGAACAGGGAGGACATTACCGTCAAGAATTGTTTGCTGGTAAGCCCTTCATCTTGAAACAGCCCAGCATCTGCCATTGCAGGGTCATCCACCCAGTCATCCACATTATCGGTATCAAGGGCAAAGCCATTGTTTTGAAGTTCTTCAAGGTCGGCTCTAACTTCAGCTGATGTGTCTAGTTTGTCGAATTCATGTTTGCTGGTGGGTTCAGTGTGCTACATGCTTTCCATGCACCTTCAAGGACTCTTCACTGGGTTGCTTCCATCTTGAGTTGTACCCTCTTCCGGGCAACCAATCCATTCCTTTCCAACCCTGGACCTAGCAAGTTAGTCACAACAGCATTTTGCGCTTGTTTTGATCATGGCATCAGGATAAAGATTCTAGTACTGTAAAAAAATGTAGCCCATGACTAGAGAAACAGCACTCACAGAATGTGGCGACGTTGTACCAAGAGATTGAACTGATCTATTGAAGAGCGCGTCCAACATGCCATACAGTTTCAATTCATTCTATACAGTTTCTTTTTGTGTGGCAATTCAATCTGGCATGTTCAAACGCTGTCACTGAAAATCCATCATGCCATTGAAAATCCAACGCTTCAGCATCATGCCCCAGACCAAAACTGAAGGTAAATATGCAAGTGGACACAGACAGATAACAAAACTTACCACAATTCTAGAAACCATGTTGCAACACATGCATCCCATAGCCCAACGTGTGTTTGACAGTTTCGTTTGGACTTCTCGTGTGAGATACAGGCTGATGACCGAAGAGATGAACTGGTTTCATCAGTCAGTGAGCGACAGGTTTGTCAAGGACTTCAGTGTTCCCTATCAAGTTTGCAGTAAGTACACAAAAAAAAGTGCGAAATTCTGGAAAAACATACCTTCTTCAGACTGGAAGCCTGATTGGGGGCGAATTGATCTAAAAACCATCAAGGAGCACATATCAACCCATATATTTACCATGGAAATGAGTTATATGGTACAGCGCCGCCTTGCTGTCCCCCTGACAGGGTTAAGGGAAAGGCTTGATGAGGTTCACCCATTTGTGAGTCATCAACCTGACGAATCGGTATTACATAAATAACTCCTTGTGCTGTGGAAATAGACAGATGTCTTGGACCGCTTGGGGCAGCCAAGCATCATGTTGATCAATTATGGTGGTCAAACATTACCTATCATGTTACTTGCCTCGAAAAGCATTGAAGACAATGAAGGGTGGGAAGCACTGCACAGCGAAATATTAGACAAGATACCAAAAGCAAACAAAGGTGCAGCCACACCAGTAACCCCAGTTCCAGCAGCTCTGAGCAGCACACCAACCGCAGAGCGCAGGCAGCCACAACCATGCCAGGGCGAACCACCCCCCACCCCACAGAACACCGCCCTGAGGGCCCCATCCCCCCCCCAGTGGAGACTGCCCGACCCTTTGACAGTGTCTCTGCCTTGAAATAGAAATACAAGATCCACTGCCCCCCATCCATCGAGTATCCGGCAGCACGGGTTGGGTACCACAGGGCCTTCCCCATTGCTCGATGCAGTCAATGCTGGTATCGGTGTTGACATCATTACTCCAGCACATGCACCTGCGACCCCTGCCAAAACTACCCCTGCCACACCATCTGCCACTTCGTTTGACCTAACAGAGTTCAACACTCCTACTGCAACCCAAAGTGGATCAAGCATTTGCACCGACTTCCCTGGGACTACCACCACTCCTGGATCCATGCAATTAGTTTCAAACATCTCACTGCCAGACAGACGCACCGATCTAGCACCAACCCAACGTCACCTTCCTCTGACTTAAGCAAATGTGCAGCAATTGTCGTCATCTCAGTTGAGCAGTTTGACTAGTACTCATAGCATGATGGCTGCGACAGAGGTAGGAAGTCAGTCACTCTTTGAGTCATATGTGAACGTACATACAACTCTGTGGCTGGAGGACATCGAGATCATCATGCTTAAGTCACAACTGGGATTCACCAACATTACCAACTTCCGCAACATGTTGATGACAGAGTTTGACTGTGGGTATGAAGAAGCTTCCTTCTTTGCTGAACTGGCAGCTGCAGGGCATGATTGAGAAACGATTCTGCTGTTCCCCCCCCCCCCCCCCCTACGTAAATTTCTAGAAAATACAGAAAAAAAACACACACACCTGTATTTATTGTGAATTTGGCATAAATGCACGAATTATTCCCATATGCCAAATACAGGGTAAAAACTGTTTACCTTTATTTGTTTATTGGTTGGCCCCTGGTTGAATTCCCAACACGTCGCTCAACATTTTCGCACACAGGGGTTCTTGATGTCCCAGCAGCAGTGCACAGAGTCATTTGTCGAACCTGCTACTCTGTCAAAAAATCAGAGGAAAGAATCAGTCCAGACATCATTCAACAAACGGATTCTCAAGCTGAGGAAGAGTTTTGATGCCCAAGTCCATGCTATTGTGCAGGAATTTGTTGGGCATGGTTCACACTATTCAGCAAACCAGATACGAAAGCAAGTTGTCTATAAGTTTTCTGCACCAAAAAAAGTATGGAAGCCAATGCTCCCTAATGCCTGGGCACATGCAAAGGCGCAGGCATGTCGTAAACAAGGTACATGGTTTCATTAACAGATAAAAACCATGTAGAAATGCACTAACCTCCCATGCACAACAGAGAAAGCGCTGCCAAACCTCCCATACTCCAAAGAGTACCTTGAGCTTCTTGACGACATCAACAATGAAGAAGTGACGTTTGATGACATAAAGAACCCACTTACTCCAATGGATGAACATCATGCACAAGTTGCCTTAGAAGGTGTTGTCGTCAAAAGGGAGAATCGGGCCCTAAAAGAAAACATAATCTCACCTGAACTGTCAGCACAACGCATGGCCATCCATGCCCGAGACCAGCTCGTCCAAATTGTATGTTCAACAAGATGCATTAGTCCCCAGAGAGAATAACAAGGCATAGGCAGAGAATGTGAACCGGGCATGTGGAATTCAAGTCATGATTATGATGGCAAAAGGGTCTAGCGATGATTTATTTGCACCAGTCGTGTGGGCATCAGAGAAGGCAAAGGAGTATTGGCTGGGTGTAGCAAAAGAGCCCCTGTGGTTACATGCCCGGCTTATGGAGGGATATTGTGTTGGGGCTACAAGCAGTGAGTCAAGAATCAGGATACTTTACACTCTTGATGCTGAAACGATTGAAGATGTTGTGAAGGTTCATAAAGCACTCTCTGGTTCATTGCGTTTCCAGTTGGCAGAATGGACAAGAACTGAACTACATGAGTAGTTACCCTGTCAAACATCATCAGAGGATTGATCTGGGCGCAACACTAGGCAAGGTAACTGGGAAAACTCAGCTTCCAATGGAGTGGGTGCCTCGGAATTATCTAAAGCTCACGATCTGACATGGTGTCAAGATTGACATGACACACTATCCGGGGGGTAAGATAGTTGAGCCCAAAAGGGCCATGGTCGATCATCTTCGAGAGGCTGTCAAGGGATGGGAAGATGGGAAAATCAAATGGGTTAAGCTGACAGCAGAGGAGATTGAGCAGCAAAAAGCAGAGCTCAGTAGTCTAGAATCTGAAGCAGTGCAAGCCCAGACTGGCGACCGTAGTGAGTCACAAGCCACGTGCGTCAACTGTGATGCCATCTCCGGATACCCTTCCACCGTTGAACAACGTGATGATGCCTTATCAAGCCCTAACAGCAGTGTACGGAACAGTGTGGCTGCAGGTGAAAGCAGCACGAGTATGGGAGATAACATATCACCAGCACGGCCAAGGTTCGTGGCATCAGAAGTATTATCAGAAGACTAACCGAAAGAGACTTTTCAGTGGTTTGAACACTGATAATGCCACACCAGCAAGCAGTGCCACTCACACAGGGACCGAGCCAGCAGCAACCATGGAAGTCAGCTCCAGCTCCAGTAGGGGCGCTAACTTGTAAGTGAAAGTTTCCCCGGAAGTTTGCAAGGTAATTTGATGGTTCTGATAGGAGGAAGAAGTGCAAAGCGCCGGCAGACCCGAAGCCATGTAAATCTCACTGACACAGTACCTTCCCTGGCAATGAGAGGGCAGGGGGATAGTAACACCTGTGCAATGATGGATGGATGGATGGATGGACGGGTACTCCTCACTACCATGTGTTTGTTGTGGTTCTTAGAGTCGCACCGCTGAACAGCATCAACGATGTTCCCATTCATCCATATAAGGCAACTTATGGCTTCACAGGCAGTTTTCATAGCTTGCTCAATCACATATAATTCACATTGGGATATTTGAAAAAAAAATTGAGGGAAATTCAAACAATGCTGATAATGTTGAAAATGTTGGTAGTGGCAGCAGTGTGACATGGGAGGAAAAGGAAAGGAAGCGAGGGAAGTTGTGTATTAGTGAAGTTTATAAGGGAACAGTGATTTTGAAAAATAAGTGTTGGCAATGTTGTTGACAACATCGATGATGGTGATGATGGGTCCGGAGACGTTGGCAGGATGATGTGTGACAGTGAACTCTGAAGGAGTTGCGGCATGGAGGGGTTTTCCGGATTTTCAGGTCATGGTACCCCGGAGCTTCTCAGGCCTGAAGGGCCTGAGAGTAGTATATATAGTATTATGTACTGATCGTTGCACCATGTCAGGGACCGCATGTCAGTTCACGACAATAAGGGTGTTCCCGAGAATCCTAGTCGTTGTTAATGCTGAAGTGCCACCTTCAGCGGAGATAGGGCTTATATACATGGATACCGCTATCCACTAGAGAGGGGCTACAAACGAGATAAGAAACAGCTGATAGAATGATGACATGAAAAGATAGCTATTCATTCGGATAATCGTAAGCAAGGTGTGGGAAAGGGGTGACATGTGGATGGAAGATAGAAGCGGGACGCTAAGCGAGAGCTAAGTGAGATTACCTGCGTTCTTCGGATCACTCCGGATCGTCTTATGGCAACTCCCTTCCGGCATAGGGAGTCAGGGTAGCCGGTTAGGCCATGCCCTGACACACCAGTGCATGGGTGCATGCACTCAAGGAGCGTCTCTATATCTAAGAGAGCAGGTCAGGTGGGCCCCCTATAGGTACATATTATTATAGTCCCGTGATGAGTAATAGGTGCTATTCTTTCTAAAAATAATTATTAGATATAATCCTGTACATACCGGATTTTTGAAAAGAAGTTCTCCCCTCCCCCAAAAATTCTCTAAGGTGCTAGGACACGCTAGAGTTGGTGTGAGTGAGTGGAATTCCAACAGTAGGAATAAGGGCAACAATCTAGCCTGCAATGAGTGGGTAGTGGATTTGTTGAGCCCGGACCTTGCGGAAATCCTGGAGAACCCACTATGGAGTTTAAGGATGGAGGGTATAGTGAGTTTAGTGGAGAAAGTAGAGTTTTGGGAGTTTGGCCCCCACAAGCTTAGTCGGCATAGAGAGCTGCGAGCCCTCTTTCAGTGTGCAGATGTGGGTGCGAGTGCAGGTGCAAGTGCAGGTGTGGGTTAGGTCAGGGTGTATGCCCTGACACACTCACAGTGAACTTCAAACAAGACTTGTGGGTGGAGCAGGCCCATAGGAGGAGTATGGACTCTGTGAGCAGGGGGGGAAGCCCCCTTTGCAGAAGGAGGGACTCGGACCAGACAGGGGGGTACTCTAGTTGATTTCAGACTGAGGTCCCCAAAAGTATTTACAAGATATAAATAGGAAAGAGGAAATATAGAAGGGCCGGTTGGTCCGGCATGGTACGGTGCGGAATGAGCAGGGATTGTCAAACTAAATAATGGACAAGAGCCCAGGAACTGGAAGTGAGGAATGAACAAACAATGAGTGGTGAGGGTTATTGATGGGAAGAACAACAAGACCAATAACCTAGTGTCAATAAAAGCAGATCAAACACTGATATTGGCAAGTTAAGTGAATGAGTGGATAAACATAATAGGCACTTGGCAAGGAATGAATGTATGCTGCCAAGTGGCAAAAGGCCAAAGGAAAAGCAGGGTCAGTGCATGGCACCAACACAAGTCCGCAGACAGAGGGTGGTCCATCAGTGCTGTCACAAACAAGGACAGCATGATGGCCAGCAAAGGTTTGGAGGGGTGTGTTGACCTGGCCACAGGGTGTGGAGGGCAACCAGGAGTGGCAGAGGTGCAGAGGGTGCAGAGATGGGCAGAGGTCCAGATGCTGGCAGAGGTCCAGATGTGGAAGATGCAGAGAATATGGAAGATGCAAAATATGCAGAGGATGCAGAGGAGGCAGGGATGTGAGACTGAGCTGTGATATAAGCCTAGGAGGAACCAGAGGGACTGGATGCCAGGAGCACCAAAGGCTCGGGAACTAGAGGTGAAGTTGGATGCTGGCAGGGTCCAGGGTCTGATTGTTGGCCAAGTCTCACTTGATGGGACAGGGGGCCAGACATTGGGTTGGGGGCTGGTTAGGATGGGTTTTGGGTTGGTGGATTCGCCTATTGGCATTGATTTGCCACTGACGGAGCCCCTGGATTTTTCAGTCATGACATTGCCAGACTCTACATGTATATAGCTGACTCTAAGATGGGGACATTCCTTTCCCCCTGCTTTAATCACAACTAGGTTATCAGAGCAACCTGCACAAGCACGTGCATCCCCTGACACCAAATGAATGTCAGATGCGCTTCCAGTGTGTCCCTTCAATCTAACTTGACAGCAGAGATTTTGACCATTTTTTTGACAGATAATCAATTTCGAGAAGGGTCTTTGGTGTCACCAGTGATAGAGAAGAAGTGCTCACAACTGGTTGCAAAACTTGCAATCCTCATTTTCTCTGTTGCTTGCAATTCTGCTGGGTCAGTGACACATGCACATTGCCATGCTTTGAGTGGATTGAAGTCCTAAAAAGAGGAACCTGAGCAATGACACATATGAAGCATGTAGATTCTTACTGGAATCTGCTTGCATAGGTTGTTCTGACTCCAATCACCACCAGTATAGCCAAAGGCATCATGTGGATCTGTGAGATATGCAATAGTGCATGGACCCACTGATACCTCTGGTGCATCTACCCCAAACACATGACAGTACAGCCTTTCTATCATTGTGACTAGGAGGGCAATAGAGACCATTGGTGTAAAAAGCGCAGTTTTGACAAATGGATTGAGTGCAACTGCAACAATAAAAACATTATGGTCAACTTTTTTCCAATGGGAATCAAGACTATCAAGAATAGCTTGGATTGGTGAAGAGTTGTTGCCAGGAGCTGTCATGACCGACAAATCCTGGGGCTCCGTCAGCAGCAAACCAATGCCGATAGGTGAATCTGCCAACCGGAAACCCATCCTAACCAGCCCCCAACCCGATGTCTGGCCCCCTGCCTTATTGCGTGAGACTTGGCCAACAATCAGAACCTAGACCCTGCTGGCATTCCGACCTTACCTCCAGTTCCCGAGCCCTTGGCGCTCCCGGCATTCAGTCCCTCCAGTTCCTATGCCAGCCTTGTCTCCATCTGAACCACACTCATTGCTTCCCGCTATGTGGTCACAGCCATGCCCCGCTTCCATGCATTCTGCACTCTCTGCCCACTCCATGCCCTCTGCCCATCTCTGCACCCTCTGGCCACTTCTGGTTGCCCTTGACACCTCTGGTCAGGTCAACACTCCCACTCCCCTCTGTACCTCTGTTGGCCTTCATGCTGTCCTTGTGTGACAGTGCTGACAGATCAACCTCTGTTCGCGGACTTGTGTCGGCACCGCACTGACCCCGCTTATTTGCGGACTTGTATCGGCGCCATGCACAGACCTCCGCTGGTGTCCTCTGGCCATTTTTGTCACTCGGCAACATAACATTCATTCCTTGCCGAGTGCCTATTATGTTCACCCCAATATTGGCATTTGATCCGTGTGCTATTGCACTTTCCTATTCATTCATTTAATCTGTCAATATTGGTACTTGATCTGCTTTGACTTTATTCATTCCTTGCCTCCCATTTCCCAGGTTATTGTCCTTGGTTTAGTTTGACAAGTCCCCACTCATTTCCGCTTATTTCTGCACCGGACCGACCAGTCCCTCTTTGAATTCTCTTATCTACTTATACCTTGTAAATACTTTCGGGGACCTCAGTCTGAAATCAACTAGAGTACCCCCCCTGTTCTGGTCTGAGTCTCTCCTTCTGCAAAGGGGGCTTCCCCCCCTCTGAGTCTGTGCTCATGGAGTCCGCGCCCCTCCTACAGGTCCGCTCCACCCGCAAGTCTTGTTTGAAGTCTGCTGTAAGTGTCAGTCTGTAAATACAGGATCTCCCCCAAACGTCAAGCTCAGGGCACAGCGCTCCACCTGAGTCACTGAGGCCGCGATCCCACTCTGCTAACCTTGAACAGCACTTCCGGATGCGCCGCATATTTCCGCCCACATATCCGCGCGCGCGCTCCAACAGACCTCTGCATCACCTCCGACCTCAACTCAGACAGAACCCAATCCGTCTTCCATCCGTCTTCAGACAGTATGTCCGACTCTGACAATATTTCGACTCCGACAATATTTCAGTCTCTGACAATAATCCCATCTCTGACAGGAGCAACCAATGCTGCAGCAGAAATATCAGTGTAATACTTGCAGAGGTGACCAAAAATAAGAGCCACCTGGTCAGCTCTAGTATTGGAATCTTGACAAACATTGATGGCAATGGCAAGTGGCTCAATATGTTCCTGTCAGGGCACACACCCTGACTAGCCCGGACCCAGACCCGGATCTGGGCCTGCATGTGTGCTCTGCCCCGCACACTCTGTGCACCACACACTCTGGGCCCTGGTTCCCATTCCTCATGTGACTTCTGGATATCTCTGGAAGTTTTCCTGATATTGTGGCCACTGTGGGAAGATGAGAAGTTAGCTTCCTTCTCACCTCCTTACCCACAGTAGGCAAGTGTACCTTACCTACTGCTTTATCTATTCATCTCCTCACCCACAGTAGGATTGTGCCCTGGATAGGGCTGGTTACATCTGAGGCTGTGGACCATAGGGGAGGGTCATGGGGACCCAGGAGTCATCCCCTGACAGTTCCTTAATCCTAGAAAGGAGTTAACTCATTGAGGAAGAGAGGTAAAGTATGCTAACTCATGTCATCCCAGAAGCCTTGATTCTGAATTATTGCAAGGATCTGCTGTGCTTTTGCAATTGCATCACACTTTGTTCCAGCAGCAGTTTCAAGTTCCCTCTGGCTCCTTACTACAATTGTTTTATATGGAATCTCCAGTTGAATTAACTGGCCAATGGCCATTATGTGTGATGTCCACCAAGTGATGCAAGGTCTAATAAGAGCCCTTGCTTGGTCTGCAGTGCAGTGTTGCTCTGCATATAGTAAATGAAGTGCAATTGAGTGATTATTGAACCAATTAATGATGCCATTGGCCTTGGCCAATCTTAGTGACATCTGTTGATTCTTTATGTAGTTCCCAAGTACAAGTTGCATCTATGCAAGTAATAAGCCAAGAAATACAATTTCAAGTAATCTGTGCAAAAACATACTTGGTGTGCATAGCAATCTGCTACAATTAAATGTGGGAACTGCTCCTGCAACTGAATGCACACAGCCCTTGACTCTCCTGATGCATCTGAAACCCAGCCAATGAGTTTCAGATTGAGCTTGTCCCGAATGTATTCCTTCTCCTCCTTGATCAGTGACAGCAACCTTTCATCTGTCTTCCATTCATCTGAGGTGTTATAAACATGTGTCATATGAACCTAAATTGTGTTACATAGTTATTATGGAGAATACTAGAAATTGTAACTTACCATTCCCATACATGAGATCATGAACGCAACAATGTGATTCCTGGATGTGTCTTTCCATCCATCACACTCATCATTTGAGTTAGTGCTTCTTGACAAGAGTTATATTCAGTGTCTAAAACCATTCCTGAAAGACACTTCCAAGGTGGTAATTTAAACCCAGGATTCAGGATAGAAAATAGCTTGATGACCTCCAGATCATCAACAGAAAGAAAGGACCACCCAGCTGACACAATTGCTTGAAGAAGTTGCTGTTCAAGTGCAGTTTGTGTCATATCCATCCACGGCCATCGTCTTCCACTACCTCTGATCCTTCTGAATTACCTCTGCTCCTCTGCCACTAACCTCGGAGCCTCTGGTTTCCGCAATCACCTCCAACCCCCCCAATGGTCACCACCTCTCCAATTCAATATATTACCTATGCCTCCCTAAGTATGGAGCCCCAAAGCTCTCCAGACAGCTCCAACGTCTGCTAGCACATTCCTGCCTCTGCTTGGCAATTCACTTGCTTGCCCTGCAAGTCTACCTTCGGGCCTATCCCTCCTTTCCACTTGTGGGTTATAACCCGTCATTCCACTAAACACGCAACCCAACTCGTTGGTAATATTCAGTCAGCTAACATCTATCCCTGTTAGCTCCACTCCACTTGGTCCCGCTATTCACGGGCCCGCCCTCACTGTAACTATATATACATAACTTGTAGATAGGTTACACCCTAGTGATAAAATCGACTAGAGTTGATCCCCCTTTTTAGTTCTCATTGCCAGTAAGTAAATTAGGGCATGGACATGTAACTTGGCACAGTGCTCCTGGTCTGAGTCGCTGAGGCCAAAGCCCTCCGCCATGGAGACAACTCCTTCATCTCGCTCCGGTCTCTAACAGTTTGATCCAGATCTGGGAGGTGAGGTGGGATTTGTGAGAAGCTTCTCTGGCAAGTTGGAACACTGTCAGTGGGAGGGATGAGTAGCAGTGGGGGGGTTGGAGACTGAGAAGTGTGGATAGTCAGTGGATCTTCAGTGGTGGTGCCGGAAGATGTCCAAGGGAGGGGTGAGGGCTGTTTTTCTCGCATGTGTTTATTCCTGCCTCCTGACCTTCAGCAGAAACATGCATGCATATTGTTAAATGTTGTGCAAGTCTTGTAGTGGATCCTTGAATTTTGGTAGGGAGCTCGCTTGCTAGGATAGTTTGCCATTATGAGCATCATCAGGAATACTAGGTCATGTTAAGTGCTTGAGCACATACTGGCCATCCTGAGTTCCACCTCACTCTGTCTCTCTGATATAGTGCCCAACATTAGTTTTTCTGTGTCTTCATTTTCAAGGGCAGTGATGTGTGATTCAATACATCCTCTGCATGTGGCAGCATAGTGTGTCTTGTTGTTCCCATAAAACTTGGGCAGCTTGTGAAAGAAGTTCCAGAGGGGGCTCAGTGCTAGACCCATTGGTGAAGCATGGTGGAATGATTTCTGAAGATTCACACACTTAAACTGAACCTCAAATGTGGGCTGCATCATGACTCCGACTTCACAAAACCAACTGGCTAAGATGGCATCTGGGGGCCTCACATTTAATTACAAACTGCATTAGATTGTCAGGGCCCGGCCTCGGACTCGGAGGCTCCCTGACCTCAACCCCCATCTGGCCTGTCCTCACACTATGCGGGGCATGAGATGTATAGTAAAAGAAAGGGAATATATACACTTGCCTATGCAGGGCATGAGATGAGAAGAAGGGTAAAGGTCTCATCTCCCCGCATGGTTGCTATATAAAGGAATGGGTCACATGCCCACAACTATACAGCTCCTAGAGTTGTGTAGTGTGACCCAGAGGGAACATCCAGGTGGCAGTGCCCAGTAAGCGTGGGAACGTTCTGGGCGAGTTGCTCGCCCAGAACTGTGGCTGTGACCCGTGGGAACATTCTGGGCGAGCTGCTCGCTCAGAAAGTTCCCACACTATCCCGTGCGCGCACGTGTACACAACACACAAAGGCAACAACAAGGCAACAGTCAAAGAATAAAAGGGGGTAAAGTAGGTGGGGAGTCCGGGGCACCCTAAGGCAGGGTGCTGAACCCTGACATAGATGCACATACTTTTCGAGGTCAAAAGAGAGGGTCGGCACCCTGACAGGCATGACAGTTGCCATCTCAATGGGTGCATGCTTCCTGTTTGGAATGTTCCCACAGCAATTAACCACAGATTGACATGGATTGACCTGATCTGATGTGAATTTGACCTGTCAATGTCTGACCATGTGACCGCTTTTGACCATGGTCAATCCAACACTGTTTATAAGCCCTGTACACATAGGAATGGAAAGAGCGACCTCCCTTTTGAGTACAAAGAGACTGTAGCATTGAGAGATCCAACTAAGAAAGAAACCCTAAGCTTAACTCCTTGAGTATTATAAGGAATCCCTTGTTAGATATGGGTCTGGGGTCGGCACTGAGGGTCACTGTTGTGGGCCACTATAAGCCACAATGCCATGAACAAGGCCCGAGGGTAGGGCATTCAGCCTCAGTGACTCTAAAGGAGCACTGTGCCCCCTAGCTGTCTCCTGGCCTCATTTCACACTCACTGGGGTTGCCTTGTTGGGGTCAGAACCTGGGGAGTCATGATCAAGTAGATATTAGAGCTAAGGTACTATAATGTATCATACAGGATATATATAGGAAGAGGAAATGAATAGAAGTGGACCCGGACCGAAGGCCGAAGGGTCCGGAAGCAAACAGAATCAAAGAGTGGGGTTGGCTGCATAATGACCAGCAATGGCCGTGGGTCAAAACAAACAATAATAGATAAATAAATGAAGGAGTGTAGGGCTGCTGTCACATCCTGGAATTCCGACCCCACACTCTCCCACCTTACTACACCTTCCTAATGACCTCGCCATCCCCTACACCATTTCCCTTACGTTCTCACCCCACTTCTGTGTCAGGGCACACCTGCCTGACCTGGCCCCACCTGACCCAGTACCCCATTACCCACTCTCCCCCTGCTTCCCTCTTCTTTCCCTTCCCCTCTCTTCCCTTCCACTTCCTCACTTCCCCCCTATCCTATTTCCTCTTTGTTTTCTCTTCATTTTACACAGATGACTTTCCTTTGTATCTTTGTACCATTGACCCACCCACAGTGTGTGTATGACACACCCAGCCCAGACATCTCAGGCGACTTCCCGCTGTGCCCAGCATGCGTGCTCGCACCTGGCTTTGGAGCTATCTGCACCCTTGGCGACTCTACCCTTCATCATCCTAATTAGTCATCCTTTACTTCTTTCAATTCAGTCAGTTAACTTTCTCTTACCCACTTCTCGTTCCTGTTAGAATGGGGCGAGAGCGGACGATTCTGGAGTGGAACTGGAGACTTAGTGAGGAGGGACCTTGGCCTCAGCGACTCAAGGGGAGTGCTGTGCCATTGCTGTTTGTCCATTTGGTCTGAGCAAGAAGTCTCTAGGGGGCATTTCTAGTCGATTTTAGACTGAGGGTCTAATCGAGTATGTACAAGTGTGTCAGGGCACACCCGCCTGACCCGGCCCCACCCGGCCCCACTTCACCCGGTACCCCGCCACCCAGTCTTCCCCTACCTCCTCCCCCCTTCTTCTTTCTTTCTTCCTCCATTCCACTCTCTCTTTACTTATCTCACCTTCTCTTTATTTTCTCTTTATTCTACACGGATGACCTTTCCTTGTATCAATGTACCATTGACCCACCTGCAGCGCACTCACGACATGCCCAGCCCGGGCGCCTCGGGCGACCCCCGCTATGTCCAGCTCGCGCGTTCACAGCGGACGCCCTCGGGATCCCCACGGGGACACCCGGGTGACTATGGCTGTATGCGAGGATGACGTGGCACCCGTCATGTGACCTAAGCCGCATGTATATAAACATACCTGAAGTGGGAACTGAAGAAGTAGCCTTCTTCTCACCCTTTTCCACTTCAGGTAAGTAACATAGTACTCCCTTTTAATAATAATAACACCCTTTTCCACTTCAGTCTAAGTGGCCAGGGACTGCCTCCTGAGCCGGGCCCACCAGTACGCACGCCCGCTCCACACCCCGCGAGGCTTCTAGTGTCGGGTGTCTCACCCGGGCCTCCTCTACCCCGGACGCGTCCCTGACAAAGTGCCTGTATATAATGGGGAGACGAAAGCACAAGGAAATCAAAGGGGGTCCGAATTGGAACAAAGGCATCCAAATGGAGACAAAGGGAATTCCAGAAGCAGAGCGGTACCAAAGGTCATGGGTTAGATGGTACATCTGATAGGAGGTAGGGAGGGCGAAGCTCAGAGGGGCAGGAGGATGAGGTGAAGTGGGGTTGATGACTAACTGGCTAAAATGGAAGGAAGCAGTAGTCCAAATAGGGATGAGGGGAAAGTGTGAAAGATACAATACAAGCAGCAAAAGTGCTGAGAATGTTCCATGAAGCTCGGAGGTAGTGGAGCTTATGGAGGTTGGAGTTGGAGTTGGAAGTCTGAGGAATATTGGTGATGGGGTTTACATGAAAGGTCACCAATGCAGTGAACTTAAGCCGAGGTGGAGTCAAAGTCCGAGGTCAGAACCATGATGGGTTCTTGGAGCGAAGGTACAAGCAGTGTCCAAGTATGGGGTACAGGATGGTGGCGGAAGGTCGTAACTTGGCAGAGGTTGGCAGAAGGGGGACGGAAGGAGAGGAGTGAGGAGAGGAG